AGCGATCGCAAGTTTTCGTGACTGATATAGCCGACGAGGATAAGTTCGTTATTATCGTCGACACGGTAAATTCCATTGGTGTATGGGTAAACAAATCGTAAAGCCGAGCTTTCAACGAAACCGGATGAATTTAAACTTCTTCCAGAGGCATAGCCGACAAAGGTACCAAAGAACAACCCACTTTCATCTTGCCAATTCAAACAGACAATCATGTATTGGAGGGCCGCTATGATTATATCATGACTTCTCATGAAGTATACACTAGCTTCGTTCCTGTTTTCGTAATGGACCAGAATGAAATCCATGGTAAAAAGCTACTACAGTATGAGATTGGGTTTTTTAATTTATGTTATAAAGAGCAAGATCAAAAAGGTTCTTTGGGTAGCTATGAGGAGGTACGATTGTTTAAATATTAAAATGATGAAAGAATTTTTAAATATAAATGCTCGAGAAAACGAAATAATCATTTTACATATTTAATCTTACCATAATGGAATAACTACAGAATGCCGACATGCGTATGACTAAAATCTTAATGCACCAATTCTTATAACTCAACAACATCAATCAGCTGACATCAAACAAATTATACTTTAAACTCATAAAAAAGATTGCCACCGGGGTAGAGATTTGGGCTACGCCCACTTCTAATCACTAGGAAACGGGTGCGGAGCGTAGATACTGTGTTATATAAGCTTTTACGCTCATTTATAGAACAGAAAAGTAGGAAGTGACTGTATCGAGGTATGACTTCAATGATGTAGTGAACGGAAAAAATGTAAAATTCACCCTCCCTCTATATAAGATTATTCAGTCTCCAATCACAAGAGTTGATTATAAAAATATATGCATTCTCACAAAAATTTGATCTTGGTAGGAATAAATTGACTTTTCAAATTAATATATGACAACAATAATGGATCATGTTTAGATCCTATCATATTTACAATCACCAATGAGTTCTTTTACCGACCTGTCAATTATGAATATGAAACTCTTCCCCGTAAAAGACTCACGTACGCACTTATCTAAATTAGGTTAACAGAAAGGTATAATTCGAATTTTTTTGATTTTTGTTAATGCTTATTATTTCATCAATCCTTTGGCCCACCGTTTAGAGAATGGATCGTGTTTGCAGTATGTGGAATAATTTTACGCCAAGCGAATTTTGCTTACGAACCTCCGGAAGGCATATAAAAATAAATTGATAGGGCGAAGCTCAACGATTGACAAAAAATCTGACAAGAATATTTCAGATGTCATTATTTTTTCCTTTTTTAACGTTATTTAACATACAGTATAATCGGAAAACTTTACAGTTTAGCTCATTATTATTTTAAAAAATTGTACCAACTCCAAATAAATAATACGGCAATCTACTATATGCGGTATAATAAAATTTGATCGTCAATTGTTTTTTAAAACAACTTCGGAAAGCATAGTGCTTTTTTTGGATAGAACCGAAACCGAAAAACCATTTAAAAAAAGGGTTGCAAATTTTTATTGATACTTGCAAAAACAAAGAGTCTAAGGATACACAAGGATCTGGGATTTGCTAGCAAAGTAAATTAATTCTTATAATCAATTTTAATCAATAATTACTTATTGACGTCACATACTGTATGTCACGTCAACAATTTAGCTTAATTACAAAATGCTTCTTATCAAATTTGGATTCATAGGCGCAAGTTTTTCTTGGGCAACCTTTGGACACTAAACTAAATACTGTTACTTATTTAGAAATCACATACCTTGGCATTAATGCATCTCGTATCTTACACGAAAAAGGTTCGACTTCTCACGCGATCCCTAGATTATTTTTTGTTTATAGAAATTGGCCATAAAACAGACCAGTTGACGTACAAAATTATCGGTTCCGAAACTTTAACTCAAGGATACAATTGATCTCCAAGATTTAGCTTCAACACACCAATGTTTTAAAAACATTTAGATTCGTTCAATATTCCTACTTCACCGAATCGCGTCATCGTCGGAAATAAATTACGTAATTGTTATTATTACGTGACCAGGTTCGTAACTAACGGTTTTTTAAATTTCCGGTTCAGGGTCTATAAACCAATAAAAGGTAAACGTGACATTTAAATTCGTATTGTTACCGGTTAGATCGATATTTTAGGTCGCTCCAAGTTTCAACAAGTTAAACTGGTTCCAACTGAATTACTAAATTTGTATAGTGGTGACGTTGCTCGAATTTGAGTAACGTATAACAATAAGTTAAGCTGCGTAATCTTTTCTTATGATGACTTCTTGGGTAGTTCTTTCTTTAAGCCAAGCAGTACTTAAGATAGATTATTAATCAAAGTTACCTTATTTGGTAATAGCAAGCCACCACTACTAAATTTACCCCCTTTTTTTTTAATTCAGCGAACACCTCGACCTTCATTTGTTGCATCAATAAGGTGTAATAACCGATTCTTTCTCCTACATAGTCTGGTTATTGTACATAAGAACGATTATATTACGTAAAACCATTATGCGCAATGTAATCCTATTAACATGGACAAGGAACATTAGTATAGGATTCTCGCAGGATTTTATAACGATGGAAATCGAAGCACAAATTCTGATAACAAAGTGGACATAGTGGCTTACTATATGGTTCAGTCGAGTTGCAGTCTATGAAGACACGTAAGACAAGATAATATATCCACCACTGTGGATGCATTACAAAAAAAATAGGGGCATATGATTCCTGAAGGATAACGGGTTACACTTGTGATTTATTAATTTTTAGATAAGTAAAATTGGATGAGTGAGTACAAAATTCACATTGTTACATGAAGAACGTTCCAAAGAAAGAATTTAAACAAGATGTTTAAGTCTAGAGATAATAAGCTAAAATGCAACTCTCTTCCAGAAAGACCAATAAAATTAATTTAAGCAAGGTGGGAAAGAAGGAACCTTTAATATAAATAATATATTTATTCTGCCAACGAATCATTAATCCCTAATCTAGAACTTGAATTATCAGGAATACTATTATTTATAATATTGACTTGATAAGTAATTAAAAATGAAACAACTCTTTGTATATAAATATCCCGAACCTTACAAGATGGCCCTTATTTTTTCTTTTTCGTTTATATGTATACACACTTTTTTTTTATTCTTTCAAATAATATATTTTTTCTTTTTCGTCTATATGTATACACACACACTTTTTTTTTTATTCTTTCAAAACAATATATATATTTTTATTCTCGTAGGTTTTTATTCTTTTCCAAAGAAAGCTTTTAATATAATTATAATATGTTGTATAAGTTGATTCTTGTCGTTTGCGAATTTTATTTTTCCTAAAAATTCCTTAACAATTTTCGCAACATGTGGCATTTAGCAATAAAATTATGTAAATGTCTATACATGCTATCTTCGATATGGACTTGCGAATGCTTGTGATGAGGCTTGTTGACCTAGTGTCATGTTTTGAAATATTGTTCGCTTTACTGTAAAGTTTACGAATTTCTGCTCAACCGACGGCAAATTCTTTCGTGACGGTTTCTATTGCTAGTTGTTTGAAAGTACCCATTGCACCTTGAACAGGGATACGCTAGAAAAAAAAAACAGGTTATTCATGAAATCTTTAATAATTTAACGGAGCATAAATGAAATTTAGACCTACGTCGATCCCCGTTGTGAACCCTTGAGTGAGTAGTTAGATTGCTAGGAAATCGAAGCAATAATCCACAAACGGAGCAACAGCACCTATAAAGCGATATTAAGTTTTCCCGAGAAATATAACCAACGAGGGTCAGCTCTTCATTACTGTTAACGCGGTAAATTCCATTGCTGGGCGCGTGAACAAACTGAGAAGTCGGTCCTTCGACAAAACGGGATGAATTCAAGCTTCTTCCAGTGGCGTAGCCCATAAAGATTCCTGAGGATAATCCACTTTCACTTTGACCATTCAAACAGACAATCATGTATTGATAATTCTCCAGGAATACATCAAAACTTCTCACAGTGAATAGAACATATGCGCCAATGTTTTCGAAATAGATGGATATAGGGCTCATAGTGAGATGGAACTTGAAGGTCTAGGTACGTGCTGAGATCGTTTATTTAACTATCAAGGCGACGAAAGGATTTAATTTTGTACGAATATAATACCCTATTAGATCACTAAAGGAGTGTCCGTTATGATTTGAAAAATTTAATACCAATGTCATTATAATGTCAACGTTTTTCGGTTGACATGCGCACGCATGACTTTAATCTTTTAAATATTTGGGCAAGTACGTGACACTAAATTTAATAGTATCGCTTGAATAGTCCCCAAAGCAAAAAAATATAATTATGAAATATATACTCATATTTTATTTATTGGAATTGTCGGTATTTGAGTTTTTCATAACGTATTATTTGTTTGTTTATTTTGAAAATTTGTACATTTACATGTTAATTATCATATGAAATTTCACCAAGTCATTGCCTATATTAACAAATTGTGAATACCGTGTATAGGCAAGAAATAAAATTATCTATAATAAAGTATAAACTTAACTAATAAATAGTTACCCTTTTAATCTTTATTATTTCAACTATACATTTTGCAGTATAAAACCAATGATTACCAAACCGCCTCATTCGACGTTACACGACGGCTATCTGCTATTTGGAATGTAATAGATGTATAATTAAAATCTTAATATAATAGAATGATTATGAATCATGTTAAGGAAAGATATTATTCGGTCATTAGCGATATCAAATCCAATATGCATTATCACCCACAGTTACATATTGTACAGATTTACGTGATGTTGCGATTAGGACGATCAGCAATTCAAAGTTCGATAGTTCTAAAATCAATCACATATTTACGATTCTTTAATCCTTCAAGATTGATCTTTCTTAACAACAACCCTCTGCCATGTTCAAAATTGAATTCGTTTAAGATCCTAAATAAATACACTCATAGCTATTTACGACATAGACACTCTAAGAACATGTCATACTTGATGCAAGCAGTAACATCATTACTTCTCTTGTTCCTATTAGACCGCTAATTTTATCACAAAATAAATTGTTTATTTTGCGTAGAGACAAATAAATAGTTTGCTCGAGTATAATTGATTTTTTTGGAGTTATATAATTTTTCGTCATGACCAACAAACCATTTTCGTTACGCATCAGTGGTTATGAAAATCCAGGATGACCTCCCTCTCTATCTCAGGTAAAGCAGAATCAGAGTCATTGTTAAAATACGTATTCCTTATTTAAAATGTACGTAGAATAAGATTGACCGCAATCCGATACACTGGATATTTTAAAGAAAGATGAGCGAATTTTAATACAACTTATAATCCGAAATAATCACAAAATATCACGATACAGTAGTAATAAGCAATAAATAATGTCAGGATGCAACCGACGATCAATATGCGAAAGTCGTGCAAATTATTCGTGTATATTCACAATGCTTCTGATAAAAAAATCGAATTTTCTGTCCAAGATTTGTTTTTTCACGATAGTTCTATCTTAAATAATACCAAATATTACTATCCAAATTAAATGAAATTTCACATAATTTACATTATATTATTATTAATTTTCTCTTCGATAAAAAAATTTTGGGCATTTATTCACTTTTTAGACGCATGGTTAATACCATATCTTGTGATCTTTATGATTGATGCAGTTTAACATTAAATATCTATTATTTGAGAATTTAGATGTCACATTATTTTTATAAATAACATATATGGTAACATGATATGTTGATAACTTGCAGTTTGTTGAAAATAAAATATAATGAAACACGATGAGTTAGTAAGTACATAATCGAATACTCTTGATTTTAATGCACTGAATCATACATCTGATTTTGTTTTTACAAGGTGAACTATTTTTTTTTTTATCATGAAAAGAAATATGCATTATTGTTTAAGAAAACCTTTGTTTTTGATGGTGGATAAAACTGTATTTTATTCACTATTTACAATCAATGCTATACATTTTTTGCTTAGTTGATAGAAGCTTATTGGCCTACCTTTGATTAAAATTTAAACGCATATATTTATCCTATAATAATGCCACAATGTGACTTAAGGATAGATATGGAGTCACATGCGTATAGTGATAACGCGATGAGAGCCTTCGTAACGTATGACGTTTGTTAATTTTTCGGTATAATTTATTCCGAGACAATCGCTCAATAATGTGCTTGATATTAAATTAGGATAGCAGTCTCACTTGAATCATTTACAAAAATGAGATAATAATTCACGAGTGTCATGCATTTATTGTATGAATAACTGAGCCATTGGTAATCCTTAAAAGGAAGGTTGTGAAAGTGGAAAAATATCTCTATTAGTAATGGCTGAGGAAATGTCCATATGATCAAATGTTTTTTTTTTTGATCACTATTATTTATTGGTCGACAATAATCTATCAAGAGTTTTTTGTGTTGGTTCGGTTACAATACACACTACTGTATTACAAGAAACAAGTTTATTTGATCATGTAAAATCATTTTATCACATTTATGCGATTATGTATAGAATCTTATACAAAAATGAATTGGAACACTTTTTATAAAAAAGGTATTCATGTTTGAGACGCCGAGGGATTTTAGTACAAATGATTTCTGTCATGCAATCCTGGCAGGCGCACCTCCCAAATCTTTCATCTTCTTTGTAGGGTCCAATAAATATTGTTACATAAGGAAAGTTAATTTTTAACAAAAATTAAATTTACATCACCGTATGTACGTATATAGATTATTGAGTAACTTTAAAGCACATAAATTAGCCTACTGCATATACTGTACATATTAGAATATGAAGTTTATTTTATTATTCTTCCAAAAAAATATTTTATTTTTCAAATTTGATTTCTTGATATCTGATACAATTATGGTTTTTAATTTTCTATTATTTTTAGCGTATATATTAAGAAAACTTAAAACATCCAAACGTTATCATAAAGATTGAACGTATAATTTCCAAATTTGGATTTAATATGATACACGTAAACAGACGAATTTGCTGCGACAAAGATAAAAGATTTTAGGATTAAAGCGTCACGAGTCGGTCATTATTAAAATCCTTTACATTTGATTTTTACAATTAGTTGTCAAGTATATATAAGAGACAAAGGAATCAATCAAGTCACTGCCCTCCTTGTTTATTGTAAACAAAAAAATGACACAAAGAAACATTCCTCATTTACACGTAAGTTTCTCTGTAACTCTCCACACCGCAAATGGGGATGAATACAAAATCTATACCCTTATAGAAACCTTCGAAAGTTTCCCGTCACACTCAGAAACCAGCTCTTACATGATTTTTCGTTTCAACGACAATGATCATGGTGTCATATGTGGTTACATCAATAAAAAAGGTTTGGAATTTATGGATCGCGTGAAAAATACAATCTTCGTTGAAAGTACGGGTCATATCGGCGAAAATATGAATGGAGAAAACTTGGATCCGTCGGTCTTCGAAGACACAGGTTATGTGGTTTGCCGTGTCGATGATAATAGTGAACTGACACTTATCTGTTATATCGGAGAAAAAGTCTTAAACTTGTTAAAGGGACAGGAACTCGTCCGTAAATACATATGTCGTGACTGCAAAAAATTGTATAAATACCCATCCCTTTTAAGAGACCACATGCAGGTTCATTCCAATGAAAGACGTAAGTTTTTTTTTTGTCACTCACTGTTAAGAAGCATCAATAATGGGTTTTTTTATTCCCTCTAGTGGAATGCCGAGTTGAAGGCTGTAAAAAGTCGTATACATTAGAAGTAAATAGAAGGCGTCACGAAAAGAGTCACGCCCCTAATCAAAACCACCCTATCAAATATACAGTGTGAGTCATAATTTTTTAGAATTGGTTTTTTAATATAACTCTATTAATAATTATTTAAATATTATAAAAATTTACAAAAATAATTTTGAAAACCTATAGTTCAACATTACTTAAGAACAT